CTGCAAAGATTAATGAGCAGGGCACAGCTTCAAACTTCACCAAACATTTAGACCACCTGAAACTTTCAGAAATACCGGTCCAGGCTGGTTTCACACCAGTATTGCAGAAATGAGAGGGGAAGGAAGAATGAGATGCTCTGCCCTCTCCACCCAAGTCCCTCCTGTGCTCCCTGCTGCCACCACCACGGGCTGTGGATGCTGCCAGATGGCCCAGCACAGGACACAGCCCTCTGCTCCATGCACGATGCTGGTGCCCAACCACCTGAATTAGTGCTGCAGCATCTCAACCCCTGGTGCATTCCCAGAGCCTGTGTCTGCTCTCATGCTGCTGCTCTCTGTAATTTTCCATTCCTGTGTCCCTGCATCCATGAGTTCTCCCTATGATGTAGCCACATTTCAGTACCCTCATCACTGCTCTTAAACTGCCCTTATTCCCAGCTTGGATCAATACCAATTTCTGCCACTTACTTGCCTACCTTTCAGCAGGCCTTTCTTTGTTCTGCATAGAAATAAAACTGGAACTGTACCTTGCCAAAAGAATTACTTTTTTAAACCTCCCCCCCTCCACTTCCTCCCTCTATTCTTCTTCCTCTTCTTCTTCAGGAGCAATTTTATGTAATTTGCAACTGTCTGGCTGCAAATGAAAAGAGACATAAAGCGTTTCTGCGAAATATTGAAAAGCTGCATGCTTTTCCCTCAAATTTCACTTAGCAAGAGGCTTTAACTTGCTGTGTGATCACTGTGTGTCATTAATAACCTCTCCAATTCCTTTCAGAACTCAGCAAAGTGAAGGCACAATCACGAATCAAAGGCATGGGTTATTGAGATATTATATCATTTCAGTGAGGCAGGGAGTGGGGAGAAGGTGAAACACTGCACTGCTGGGCTGGCTGGCAGCTGGAGAGGGCACCACAGTTAGGAAATAGCCTTAAAGGCCTGATTTCAACAATTCAGCAGCTCTGAGGGCAGCACAGGTGTGTTAGATAATACACTATGTACAGGTGAGGCTGGTTGAGTCACCATCAAATGTGGCATTTAAGGACATTAAGGTTCAGTGCACTTGGCAGTGCTGGGTTAATGTTGGATTCAATAATCTCAGAGGTCCTCCCCAACATGATGTTCTATCAGAGTCTTGCTCCTTTACACCCTGAGCACATTGGTCCATATAAAAGAATGTAAAAGCCAAAATTCTGTCTACCTCAGGATAAGATGCTGAGCCTTACTGTTAAAAAATGAGCTTTTTAGAGTTTAAATTCCATTCAGTTACCATATATCCAACAGCACTCAAATTCCGAGACACAACAGAATTTTGACCTCATACAAAAAGAACTTGCCCCAAATGCCACAAGAATAAATACAGACAACAGTGATTCCTACTGATTTGTGTGGAAAACCTAAAATATAAATATAACTATATATAAAAGCTTAGGTAAGCTACACTGCACTCATGGCCCTGCAGGTGGGCTGACATTGCTGGCATCAGACCTGCAGGATCCCAGCAACTCCTCTGTGAGCCCACACCTACCCAGTGACAGCCTGGAAGAGAACCCAGAAATCCTGCTCCAGATGCCTGATCACAGCCTGAGTGTCTCAGAAAAACCATATCAGAGCATTTCCATAACTCTGTCCTTACCAAAAATCTCATTTGTCTCTATTGAGGTTCATGAAGTGTTGAGTTCAAGCACAGTTCCCTGCACTGAGGCAAACAAAGGAAGGTGTTTTGGTGCTTGTGGCATCTGCAGCTGCCTGGTGGTACAACAGCAAGTGTAGGATCAGCACAAGATCCTTCCTCTGCCAGTTTGATCCCCTGATGTCTCTAAACCTCCTGTCATGCACTCAGGTGGCAATTTGTGTCACCCCACACTTCATAACCCTTCAGCTTTCTTTCTTCTCCTGCTATGTGCAATGCAGAGAAAGGATATGGGTAAAATGCACAAGAAATCAGAGTGTGGCCCATTGACTGAAATCTCAGTGGTGTGCTCAGAACTTTCTGTCCCTGCCCTGTGCTGGGGCCTGGATGAACTCCTGGGGATGAGCTTTGCCCCAGAGATCACCAGGAGATGATCCAGATGTGAATAAACAGAGATGAAATTTTACATCCTTGTTCCTACAACAGGGAAGAACTGCCTGGCTCTCCTGTGTGTGATTGATTTCCAAAGGGCTGCCCACAAGGACAGGTGATGCCACCAAACCAAACCAAACCAAACCAAACCAAACCAAACCAAACCAAACCAAACCAAACCATGGCTGGAAGTCACCTCAGCTCACCCAGCCCATGGCCATGCCAAGCAACCACCTCCACATGCCCAAAAAGAGAGAGAGAATTGTGCCTTCTTGGTCACTGAGGGACTGAACAAAAGAGAAACTAAATGTGATGGAGTGCTATATTGGCAGCCTGAAAATAGCTCCAAATGCAGCACAGCTCATCTTCATCCTAATCCTGAAACATAATTACACCACACTGCTCATTAACTGTCTCCAGACAAGGATGTTCAAAAGTACTCACCTACCACAGATTTCTTACTGTTCCCAGGCAGTGTCTTACACCTCCCCTCACATAAAAAGCCTTTAGATCACCACATCACAGATAAATTGCTGCTTTAAACACTGCTCCATGCAGCTCTTACAACCCCTGAGAGCACAGACAGCAGAGAACACAGTGAAACAAGCAACAAATCCCCCATGTAGAACTGTAGCAAACCTGAGATTGCCTTGAATGCACCAAAACTCCCATGAATAATTTTTCAGAGACACATCTGACTTCCCCACTGCATTAACATGACTCTTCTCAACTGCTCCTCCATCCTTTGACTTGTTCTTATAGAACTGTCAGCTCTGCCCTGGACCAACACGTGAGGTTTAGTTTAAAAATCCAACCATTTCCCACCACACAAAAATATCTCAGGCAGATTTGTGCTGGTTATTTGTACTCTTCCCCCTGGCTGGCCTGAGATAAGGACCTTGTTAAGTGATAATTAAGTCACATGCATTTTCCAGCCCATGCCAAAAAAGCAGAGATAAACAAATATAGAAAATGATGTGTGTGTGTGTGTGGAGGTCTTGAGGGCAGCTGGGAGAGGTGAGAGAAGCTCTTTGGACCTGTATGGGTTAAAGAAAAAATGTTATGGTTAAGAATTCCTAACCACCCTCCAGAGACCCCTGGTTTACATTAATTATTCTGTTGCCTTGAGCACTCAGGGCCTCCTGTGAGCTTCTATCTATAAGTACCCAACTCCTCCTCCTACTCACCTCCAAATGAATCCTTTCAATGTGCTTGATCAACCCCCTCAGTACAGCAAGGGAACTGCCCAGTCAAAGCTCTTAAATCACACCAATATGGGAAAGGCAACAATCCAGAACTCCTTCCAGCTCTCCAGCAGGTCCCAGGGAGGCAGAGGAGGGACCTGATCCACAGGGCCCAGCCTCCCTCAAATCCCACTGAACTCTGCTCCCAAACCAGCAAGACCCAGGAACAGACCAGCAGAACTTCTCTCACCTATAAATAACTCATTTCTCTTCCAAACAATGGCTTGTGGCAAAGTGTGTATTTTATTTTTGAGAGGCTGATCCAATTCAGCCACTGCATCAGAGCCCCATCCAGGCACCCTGCAGGGCAATGGCAGAGTGGAACTGGATGCACCAGGAGGTTCTGCACACCTGGAAAAAGGCTCTGGTATTTTATCTTGTGGGAGTTTTTCAGCAGTGCCCACTGTGCACCCACACACTTCACCCCAAAGCCCACAGGGACAGAAAGGTGAAGGAGTGCTGCCACACCACAGAGGGAAAAGAGCAGCACAGAAACAGGAAAAAAAGCAGAAAAGCAGCAGCTCTGAGGAGCAGTGCTGTGCTTCCACTCCCTTATCCCTGAAACAAACACCCTTCTCTTCCACAAGCAGGAAAACTGATCTAAGCCACTTCTCACCCTCATTCCCTCCCCTGAAAATTCCCCATCATCCTGCCCACAGCAACTGCAGACAATTCACACAATTCACTGGGACTTACCCCTGGCAAAGTCTTCTGTTCATGCAGGGCTGTCTGGGCTTTGATGGCAGAGTCTCTGGCACAGTATGTGAGGAATGCACAACCTGCAGCAGATACACACAGTGTCAACTTAGGCACTTGCAGATGAACATCAACACAAATGTTACATAATTTGGATGTGTCTAAAGCTCCAGGGGGAAAAAAAAAAGACAAAGAAACAACGTGAAAGGATTTGCAGGCCACATCTGAAGTCTGTTAAGAGCTGGAAAAGGGTCCCAGTGAATAAAGGGGCTTGACACAGGTGTTGAACAAGGTGACACAAAGGGGGAGCAAAAGGAAAGCTGAGCCTGTCTGTGGCACAAACAGCCCCAAACACGAGGATCAGGACAGAGGCAAGGACCAGCATGATTACTGATTAAAAGAAGAAAAGCAGCAAGGAAAGAAGAGAAGTATCTGGGATTTTAGGCTTATACAAAAGCTCCATGATCCAGACTGATGACAAATCAGGGAGCTGTGGCAGGAGAGGCCTGGCCCTGTGTGATGCACACAAACACCCACCAAAGTACACAAGGACAATACAGAGCCCAGCAGAGCATCCTGCATTCTGCAAGGGCCAGCCTAAGGAGCCAGACAAAAAGCACAGAGAAAAGGCCAGATCCTGACATTCTCAGTCAAGATATGACTCAACACCTCAGACGAAAGCTGGAGCCAAGGGAGGAGGGGGAGGAGTTGTAGCCCCTCCAGGAAGAAGAGGGATCATCTTTGGGTGCTCTGATGCTAAGAATAAGCAAAGGAAAAAATCTGGCTGGTTATCAAGAAACATTTCCTAGCAGAAAGAGATTTAGACTGTGGAATGATCTCCCCAGGGAAGTGCCTGGAGCTCTGTCACTTGAGTTGTTTCAGATGAGGGTAGGCAAAGCACTGGAGAATAGACTCAGAATGCATCTGACCCCCTCACTCGTGCCCCTCCTATCCACAGTGGCATTTCACATCCCAGGCAGAGGCAGGATGAGTCCCTCTGCCTGGCTGATGAATATCCCTGTCCTCACTGCTGTGCTGGGGCTGCAGATGCATTGTTATGGTCAGAAAAGCTCATTTTTCTGCCTCTACATTCTTGTGCCTGGCTTGGGGTACCCCAAAGCTTCAGCTCTCCATGAGCTGCACCCAAAGGTGGTGCAGGGACTGCCTGCACCTCTCACCCCTCCACCCCAGCTCCTCAGGACAATCCCAACCACAGCAACACCATTATCCTGCTCTTCCACCCCAACTCCAAGGAACTGCTGCAGGGAAGCACATCACATCTGTCCTGACACATCTGTCCTGACACTCACATCTGTCCTGACACCCACATCTGTCCTGACACCCACATCTGTCCTGACACTCACATCTGTCCTGACACCTCTTGCTAGGGGGGAAAAAGCCTTCCCTAAACAGCACACAAGCACTGGGTATCTTCTGAGAGCTCATGAAAGCTCCTCATTGCCCAGGTTTTGAATGGGCAATCAGGCTGGGGCTCATTGTCCATTTTTGGGGCTGCACCAAAGTCAAATGTGGGACCAAGAGGTAATTTAACAAATATAGTGAGGTCAGGAAAAATGCAGGTAAACTTCCCTGCTCCTGGCAAAGGCAGCTGGCTCTAAAAGCTCCCTTCAGCTTTCACTCTTCCCATGGACTGCTCTGACATCAAACCTCAAAAGCAGCTCTATAACCAGAGAGACCAAACTCTATAACCTATTTCTGACAGATTATAATCTATTTCTGACAGATTTGAAGGCCTGGTCACCAAAGCCTCAAGCACAGATACCCAATTCCACCTGCTGCTCCAGGCTGCTACTTTGCAAGTCATACAAGACTCAGAATTCTGAGATAATTTGGGCCAGGTTTAGCTCACAAAACTCCCAAGTCAGCACTTGGAAATAAGCAATTTATTCCACTAAAAGCTTCAATGCATTGGTACTATGCCCACGTGCAGTGAAGGCACTATTCTTGCCTCAGGAGCATCAGCCATCAACCTCAGAAAACTCAGGATAGGAGCAGAGTTATGTCCACATGAAGCATGCAAACCCTGATTCCCATATTCCTGTGCTCAGCAATGGCAAAACTGAGGGAAAGCACCCTCAAAAACGCCAATCCATCGGAGGACAAGCTGAAAATGAGAACTGGACAAAGGCACATCATTTAGTGGGATAAAGGAGAGACACTCCTCACACAGGGAAGTGTTACATGCCAGCTCAGGGATTTGGAAAGGCCAGCAACACCTAGGTCCACCAGACCAATGACAAAGTGCCCTGAATCCCCTCCTAGAGCCCTCTGGTCCTTCCCTACATCAAAGGCAGAAACATTGCTCACCTTTCAGCAGCTCAGCTACCAAGAGGCAGCACCTTCCAGAGAAACACCCTGTAACTGTGGGGCCTGAAGATGCCTCATTCCAACTCCAACCCAAATGCAATCCCCACTGCTGCTCTGCTTTCCAAGGGGGTGGGAATTTGCTCAGCAGAAGCCACTTGTGCTCCTTCTCCTCACTCAAGCATGGAGCAGCACTCAGGCAGCCTCTGAAGTCCTGTCTGGACTGGGGCTGCAGGTACAGGACAGCCTGGTCCACTGCTCTCCATGTCTCCAAGCTTTGAGGACATTCCTCTCATTCCTACTTCCCCAACTGCAGCAACCTGGGAAGCTGCACTGGCTCTGGAAAGGAGGGAGATAAAGATGTTGGAAAATATGATTACTGCCTTCCACAGCCAGGTGTTTTGGAGGTTATCAATTCCATTCTCTTTGCAAAGCCCTGGTCAGAAACAGAGGAAAAGGTTTGGCAGAAACACTGTGCTCTAATTGTGTAAATAAATATTTGGGGGAAATAAACTTCCTTCCTGAAGAGCCATTATCTCTTGTGCAGCTACTCCTGGGATGCTGGGACAGGATTCTGCTCACCCTGTCCTTCATGGGTTCTTTGGGCTCCTAAAACTTTGAGTTGCCAGAGCCACCCAAGGATGTGAAGAGATGTGCAGAGGTGCAGAGGGCCTGTCACTCTCACTGGGCTTTCTCACTTCCACATTTCCTGCTTTATTTAACAGCCAGCTCAGACAGGCTCAGGCCCCTTTGGGCACTTCTCACACCAAGGCAGCTGTGCCTGCTGAGACACAGGACGTGGTGTTAGAAAGTGCTCAGGGTGTTCAGAAGTGTCAGCCTGGAAGGTTCCAGGCAGTGCCAATGATCCATTCCCAGCACAGGGATGCAGGACAGCACCCAGAGCACTGCCTGCAAAGCCAGGTCAGTTTGCAAAGCAAGGCCACCATCATTCTGCCAAAAATCCCTTTTATGTCACAGGGATGCAGGACAGCACCCAGAGCGCTTTCTGCAAAGCCAGGTCTCTCTGCAAAGCCACATCACCATCATTCTGCCAAAAAATCCCTCTGTGTCCCACCAGTGTTGTCCCACCAGAGACACCAAACTCTATAACCTCTATAATTTATTTCTGACAGATTTGAAGGCCTGGTCACCAAAGCCTCAAACACAGATACCCAATTCCACCTGCTGTTTGAGGCTTTGGTCACCTGGCCTTCAAATCTATTAGAAAACCAGTGTTGGTGGTACCACCCTACTTCCATGGGCTCCAAGAGGGTTTCCAGCTCCCTGAAGGCAGAACCCAGCCTAGTTTCACTTGAAAGAGACTGCATAAAAAATAATATATATATTCAGAGCCTGATCCTCCCTACAAACTACACATTGACTCTGGAATTTACAGTCCCTTCAGATCCTAAATATTACTCCACACATCAGCAGTCTAAAGCCTTGAGCAAGAAAAGGCTGCTGGTGTGCAGGAGGGAGGGATCTCAAGATTCTGCTTAGCATCAGAAATCACATTAAACACTTCAGCAGGGGAAGTGAGGAGTCAGTGGGGAGCTAATCTACAAGGCTGCAGAAGCTGAGTCAAAACTGGGCTGCCAGGGAGGCAGCTTGGGCTGAGGGTGGTGTTGTATCCTTGCCCTTTGGAAAATCCACCTATCTGTCCACACACTGGGAGAGAGCTGCTCCTGCCCCTGCTGAATATTTCCCTGCAATTCATTTTGGCACCTCACACTCCTTAATGGCTCCACTTTCCCTCCCATGAGCACTCCTAGGAAACCCATCCAGTTGACACTTGTGAAGGAAATGCCTTCTGCCTAATCCTGGAACACAAGGCCAAAAAATTTCCACTTGATTCTGCCCACTCAGCCTCCCCTGACCCATTCCAAAAGCCTGTTCAAACACCTCCCCTCTCTTCCCATGAAAATATTAGCTTTGAGACAAACACTGCCATTAACATGCAAATGGATCTGTGATTAACATAAATAGAAAAACTGCCTCATGAATAATATTAGGCTGGAACAGTATCAGCTACCAGTAGCCAGGTTGCTGAGACATGACTAGTCAGGTACTAACAAAACCATGAAAATAGCAGGGCTCTTATTTTTAAATCTCTAAGATTCTCCTCTACCTCCACCAAATTCATCCATTCTCAGCACCCATAGAGGAGCTGCAGCCTAACTCATATCCTCCAGCCCCTGGCAGGCCTTTTTCACCCTTTCTTGCTCCCTGGAGGCAGAGGTGGCTGCTCAGCTCCATATTCCTGCAGGGGAATACAAGGGGACACGCTGGGCATCACCAGCAGTGCTGGCTTCTCACACAACTGCTTCCTCCCCTTTGGGGAGAGAAAGGGGAAAAAAAGCAGATGGAAGCTGCATGTGAGCTGTCAATTGGATCTCACTGCAGATCAGGAAGGTGGGGAGGGAAAACTGAGTGTGCTGTTAGAACTGCCCCAGAAAGGTGGCTTGTGCTCACTGCAGCCAAAGCGTCCCCAGTTTGGGGGCTGTGACAGTGCTGTGACACTGCAGCTCCTGGGTCAGGCCTGGCACCTTGCAGGCCTGCAGATGCCAGCAGCAGCTCCTCACCAGGATGAGCGTGGAGCACAGGCACTGCAGCCAGAGCTGGTAAATGAGAGTGAGCAGGCACCAGGGTGGGCTGGATTGTGGATCCGTTCCCTGGCTGCACGATAAACCCCCACACACTTCCTTGTCAAGGGATGACTTCTCCGGAGAGGCTGTTCCAAAACAGGCTGAGGATCTGCATGCAAACTCATGGCACCAGGAAAGGAATCCCAGCCTCTCACTTGGTACAAAACAGGACAGGGAGGGGCATAGGGAGCTGAAGAGGTCTGGAAATAAACCCCAAAAAACACCCAGACAACCTCACATCTCAACAGCATCTTCTGGACAGAACCCCTGACCAACAACACCCACATTCACTCAAATAAAATGTTAGAACCCAAAGGATGTATTTATCTTGCTGCAGAAATCCTGCTTTTAACAGCAAGTTAATATCACACACATCTGGCTAATACCACTGCTGCCCCCTCTAATTTCCATACCTAAGCAGATCCCTAGAATTTGTCTCCTGCTTGGAAGCTGACCTCAGACCACACAGTCTATATTTAAGATGTCAACTGGAATGAAATGTGCAATTGTCTCTTGCCTTAGGCCCATTCTCCTCCTTGCTGGGTTTGAAACCTTGCAACTCACCAGCCCCTGGCAGCAGGTTTGGATGCAGTTCCTTGCCCACAAGCACATGGCATCCTCGTTTTTCACTCACAACCAGACACACTTCTTCACCTAAATTCATGCCAGCCCAGCCCCCACGGGCTTCAATGAGAAAGTGTTTTCCTTTTGTGCTGGAGAGTTAGATTTGGCCTTTTGTTTGAAAATACACTTGTTTTTTTCTTGTCCTCTTCCCTCTCCGTTCAGTCTAGAACGGTTCACGTTGCCAAGGCACTGGATTTTTCCTACCCTTCCTCCTAAATCTGAAGCATCACGACTGAGCGTTGCACACTCCCTCCAGCATGCACCAACACATGGCCCCACTACAGATCATTTTAGGGCACAGCAGCCCATGCTGAGCACCGACAGCTCTCAGGGCACTCACTGTCGGCTCCCTGCAGGCTGTTCTACCTGCGCCAGGGAGCGATGCTGCCATCACCCCCTGGGATCCTCCAGCAAACAACTCCGTGAGTTCCTTTCCTGGCTGGAGCCGCGCTGGTCACAAGATCCCAAACACCTGCTGGGGTGGGGTAGAGCCGCTCCACCGAAGGGAGCCGCCACGCCGAACGCGGCACCTCTTCAGCGTAAAAACACAACAATAAGCGAGGCTAAAGGAGCCTCCTCAAACTTTTCAGCACCCATTCAAGGTCCTCCTTCAGCGATGGAAGACCCCTCATCTCCCCGTGTGCCACCACCGAGGCCCCTCACCTACCCCACACGCCACTGACAGCAGCACGTTCGCGGCCGATATTCTTTGTTGCACGGATTTTAGAACCGCAGCGCCGGAGCCGTGCCCGGGCTCGGTGTGAGCCCCCTCGGGGACGGCCCAGCGAGGGTCGGTCCCGCTGCGGCCCCCGCGCTTCGCGGCAGCCTCGGCCCGGCCCGCGCTGCCCATCGCCGCCTTTGTCACCGCACCCCACGCGGGGCCACAGGCCCGGGGCTGCCGGAGGGGCCAAGGGATGGAGACCCCGCCCGTGGGCGCTGGGGATGCGGACGCGTTCCCGGGTAGCGGATCGGGGCTGCCAGTCCCCGCTGAGGGACGCGGGGCTGTGGGAGAGCAGCACACCGCGGTGGGTCACGCGTGGAGCGACCCGGGGCCCGCCGCCCCTTTGTGCGCGCCGCGCCGCGCTCACCCTTGTGCATGCCGGTGTAGCGGTCCTTGAGCACGGTGAGCTCGTAGATCTTGCCGAACTGCTCGAAGAGCGGCTTGAGGTCCTTCTCCTCCAGGTTGCGCGGGATCTGCCCCACGAAGAGCTTGATGGCATCCAGGTCCTTCATGCTGTCGGGCTGCGCCGGGGGCTCCGCGCCGCCGCTGCTGCTCATGGGGGAGGCTCGGCGCGGCGGCGGCGGCGGGGGCGGCTGCGGCGCTGGCGGGAGCGGCGGCGGCTGCCTCCTCGCCTCGCCCTCGGTGAGTCTGGCCATGCCCCGCGCCCGGCGCGGCTGCGGGCGGGCGGGCGGGCGGGCGGGGGAGGCAGCGCGGCGGGAACGGCCCCGCCGCCAGCGCCGCCGCCGCGGCGCCACAAAGAGCCGCGCCACAGCGCCCCCTGCCGCGCCCCGCGCCCCCTCACGAACGGGGGGCAGCGGGGACGGCACCGGAGACCCCCGGGAGCGACCCGGGAGGGTCACTCAGGACCGGCTGGGACAAGAGGGTGGTGAAGGCAACAAGGCGGCAGTGATCGCTGCGATGCCCGTCCCCTTTGTGCTTTTAGGGCCCAGGAGCGCTGAGGGCCCTGGGAGCAAGGGAGAGCTCAGAGCACCCACGAAGGCAGAGCCGCTCCACATCCGTGTCAGAAATTAGCATTCGGCCCATTTTCTTGGTGCCTCAGCATAAGGGTCTGGAGGCGAAGAGATTATTTAAAGCTGAAAATTTTGTAACGCAGCCGTGACCCAGCAGCGAGCACGGGGGCTGGAGGGGGCTAAGCTGGAAGGGGAAGCCACACACGGCCCCAGCTCTACAACCCCGGGCAGGCTTCTCTGTCTGTCTGTCTGTCTGTCTGTCCCTGCCTTTCTAGGGAAAGTCCCCTTATTTCCAAGCAGCTCAGCTCTCTCCTGTCTGGGGCTGGGTGGAGGATCCCCAGCCCGGTTCTGTGTCAGACCGTGCCAGATGGTCAGGTTGTGTATCCATGTTGGTTGGAGCAGCCATTATTGCTGAGGGGACCGGCTCTCCCTCATGGTGTGAGGGAGGCTCTGCATCGCTCTCCCACTGCTTTCCTCCAGCTCTGCCAGATGCTGTGAGGCACTGAGGGGATGTCAGTGCTCAGGTGGCCTCGGGGCTGTGTCACCTCCGTGCCCCACCTCTGTCACGCCAGGCTGACGCTGAGGCACAGCCGAGGCTCCATCGGGAGCTGCAGGGACGCAGCCCAGCCCCGCTCCGCCGCCCACAGCCACACGCTGCCTGCATCTCCTACGGAGCATTCCCTCCGCAGCAGCGTGCACGGCTTTTGTCGTCACAGCACACATTTCAGCCTGTCATGCTGCCCCAGTGTCCCTGAGGATGAACGCTGGGAGGAGGGAGGGGGTTTGGCTGGGTTGTTTGCGGAGAGAGCTGTGGCAGAGTCAGGTGCTCGGCTGCTCTGAGCAATGCCAGGCTGTGCCTGTGAGAGGACCTGGTGCAGACACAGCCTGGCCTTGCTTCCCCTTGTGCAGTCTCTGCTGAGAGCTTTCTGCCTTTCCCTTTTCTCTTGCCCTGAATCTTGCTCAGGGAGGGCAGCAGAGAGCGGAGAGGTGACCCTACTCCACAGCACAACATAACCAGGGCAGCCTCTGTGCTCCTCTGCAGCCCAATTCAGCATTCTCCAGCCTGCTCCCCAAATCCCATCCCTCCTCCTATCCTCTCCCCATATGCCAGAGCCTCAAACCCTACCCAGATCTCTCAGGTGTGATTTTACCTAGGCCTCTTCACCGGGAGATACAGCAGGAAAAGGCAGGTTAGGAAAAAGGGGGATGTGTTACTTGGGGAGAAGAGGGAGCCCAAACCTACAGAGCAGAGGGAAGAATGGATATTATATATCTATATCTATCTATCTATCTATCTATCTATCTATCTATCTATCTATCTATCTATCTATCTATCTGTCTATCTATCTATCTATCAGTTATACTGGTTGTGTATGAGCACCCACCTGGCTCCCAGGCTGAAGTCACGGCAAGAATGAGAGAGGCAGAGCCAGAGGGATTGGGGATTCCTCTTCACTCTCTGCAGCACTGCCTGTCGTGCCCAGCTGTGTGTGGAGCTGCAAGAACACTCACCGAGGGCCAGCAAGAGCCTGGGATTTGCATCCAGGCTTTTCATGGGAATGGACTCACAAAAGCCAGCAGATCTCTGCAGCTTGCTCTGAACCCAGGGATGCTGCAAGGCTGGAGAGCTGTCTTGTGTTTGATGGTGTTACCACCCCTAAAATTCACCCTAAACCCCCCCCACCGGTCAAACTTTCTGTTGACATATCCTGCAGAGGCTGCCAGGGTTCTGCCATCTCTTTGGAAGGCACAGATGCATCAGCTAGGAAGCCTATGGCAAGTCAAGCTGTTCTCATTTTTAACAGCTGCAAGCAGAGAAGGCAATGTCTAAAACAAGAGAGCTTTATGGCAACAGCAGCAATCCTCACCTTGGATGAATCACACCTAAGCAAGTCAAGTTTTCAGGCACCTTTGCATGCCTAGCTTGCTTTTTCTCATCAGCTGCTGCAGCACAAGCTGCTCTAGGCTTTTGTTACAGCTCAAGGGACTCAGTGCCTCGGGTAGAAAATGTCTGTTTAGAAGGAAAGATAAATCCAGTCTCTTTTGGAGTCCATGAATGGACATACTGAAACCACCCTGACTGCAGTAAAGAACAACAGACACGAAAATGCTGCTGGTAAATGAAAAACAGAACAGCTGTCAATCAGCACCAGACAGAGAATTATATACCAGAGTAACAGGATTAAGGGGAAAATAAAAGGAATCTTAGCACCAAGACAGAGAAAAAGGGAAATGAGAGGTCACCTGTGCAGAGGGAGAAGAAACATGTTGCATCTGTCATGGAGTCTACACAAGAATGCTTGGAAGAACACAACAGAGTTCAGATGCACAATTCCCAGGGGATGAGGGAACAGATTCTGCCCAAACCTGAGATGCTGCTTCAAAAAAAGAATTGTTAGAAGAAAACCACATTGTATACCCAACAAATTTCTCTTTTGCAGAGATGTGTGCTAGTGAAAAACACCCAAAATCTTTTCCTTACACACATCTAGACTTGCCTGGAATATGAATTTGAATTCAATTTCTTGTGGAATATGAATATTTGTATTTAGATGGGGCAGCTTAAGAAGAAATGTGAAGAGATCCGGTCTCAAGGGCTCAAACAAAGGGTGCAGGAGCAGCCAGGTACATTTTGCCTTAGGAGTGCCTGCCTAGTCCTTCCAGCTCCTAAATGCAGTGAGGGATGGAGAAAATACAAGCTGGAGCTCTGAATTTCCACATCACCTAGGAGACACCATTTAAGGCAGAAAATCCTCACCACAGCCCAGAAAAAAAAAAAGAAAAAAAAAAAGAGGGAGGGAGGGGAAAAAAAAGGTCCTTTAAAACAATCTGCCTTTCTTTACCTATTTGTTCCCCAGGCAGAAAAGGCAAGGACTAGGTAGGACAGTCCTGGCAGGAAATATCCAAGCAATAAGACAGTATCTCAGGGAGATAAAAGTTATCCCTCTAATGTGATTGCTTCTTGTCTGGTGTAAAAGATTCTGCAGCCAGGCTGCCAGCCTAAGAGAAAAATATCCTGTGCAAAAGGATTTAACTTGCCATCAGCTTTTATCCTCTCTTGTCCACCAAGACCTTGCTGTTTAGCTTTCACTGAATATCTGTATTACCAACCAGACAGGGAGTTTTAACATTTTAACTTTGCAAGAACCCAAAAATTAACTAAGTTTTGAAGCTTATGGATTTTTTGACCCAAGTTGTCACAGTGGGTGAATTGGAAGTGACCATCACAGATTCCAGCTACCTTTGTGCAGATACCAAAAGCAGCTGTTCTGTGAGGATTGATTTCAAAAACAAAACCAAACCCAAATAAACAAATAAAAACACACCACCTTGTGGAAGAAGTTTGGGTTGTGTGCAGTTTATTCCAATGCTTGAAAGGAAGTTGGTCAGGAAAGAATGGCACAGGGCTGTCCTTTCCCAAATCATCAGAGGCAACTCCTCAGCTCTACAATCCTGCAATACTCAATGAAGCTGATTGAGTTCAGTTTGGACCTGGTTTTAATCAGCAAAGATACTGAGCTTTGATGATTTAATCTGGCTTCTCCCCCTGCTGCCCAAACACTCCTGGAGCACAGAGATGGTCATTTCTGTCACATGCTGTCATCTGGGTACCCCTTAAAAAGAAAAAGCATTCCTGGAATCTTGGGGTCATCCTTACAGCATCTGCTTCTCACTCATCTCTTTCTTTTTGGTAAATTCTCTATCTTTCCATTACTCCCCATTACGCTGTAATTATATGATATTAATTATATTATATTATATTATATTATATTATATTATATTATATTATATTATATTATATTATATTATATTATAGATATATTAAAATATATTATTATACATTCTATTTAAAATATTCCACAGGAATAAGCTCTCAACATTAACAACCCGGCTTCAGGACACAACCTTGTTGTCCTCATGTTCTCATAACCTGAGAGAAAGAAATGTGGCACCTGAATAAAGCAGAGAGGATTAGAGGAGAGTGTGGCAATCACCACATCATCTCCACCCCTGCTCCCAGCACCACACCACTGAGCCCTTCACATGTTTGGAAGTTTTATGAGGATTTCTTTTCTCCTGCTATGACAAACCCAGCCTCTAGAAAAGCACATTTTCCACTCAGGACTCCACCCCACATCTTGCACACATCCCCAGGCTATTCCAGCTCCAGCAGCTCCAAAGAGCAAAGCCCTTTGTACCTCCTACTTCAGCAAGGTGCTGCAAGTGTCAGATATATTTAAGAGCATGAAGCATTCAGATACTATGGAAACCAGGGCAAGAGAAAAACCAAAAATAGATGGAAGACGCAAGCTGTTGTAAGGTCTGGAAAAGCCTTGCTGAGGGAGGCTGTGCTTGCTGCAGCTGATTGCAGAGTGGGATCCATTTAGAGCTTGAGCATAAAATATCCTCTCTCCAATCTTTCTGTAGTTTGTCATTTTTCTCTGCCACAGGGAAAGGGATATTCTTTAACTTCCCTTCTATTTAACAGGCTTCCTAATTAGCAGTTCCTTTGAATGATTCATATTCTAGTGTGCCCTTCCCATGACCTGGAGTAGACTGCTGCCTGAGTGCTGCTGTAGAGCAGGAGTGTTTGGGAACACACCATGAGGAAAAACCACCACAGAGCATTCTCCTGAAAGGGAAATCCAACAGCAACCCACAGAGAAGGGTGTCTTGTTAATTAGCCAATCCCAGAATCA